TCCGGTATATACCGGACCGTACCCAGGGTACGTTCCGGCAGTACCCTGGGGGACATAGACCCTATCAGCGTTACTGATTGTATCATACAATGATATCAAGAGCGTATAAAGAAGGTATAATATAAGCTATCGTAGCGGGGCAGGGGGAGTTGCCCCCTACCTGCCAGAGGAATGTAAACACTGTAACTCGGGCACTGCCATTGGCGATCGAGTTTCCCATGGTCACCTGCCCAGAACACAACCCACAGATGACATTGCGGCCCCAGGCAAAATGGATTAACTACACCCTAACTCTAATGCCTGGCGCACACGTGAGTTATTTTACACAAGTAAAATGACGCATGAGTCATTTTACTTACGTGTGCGGCGGATTTCCGTGATTTTACTCACGTGTGCGGCGGATTTTCGTTGAGTAATTTGACTCGTGCGTCATTTTAATTGAGTAAAATAACTCACGTGTGCACCGGGCTTAAAGATGTACCAACTTGCGTCATTCAGCGTCGAAAGAATTGTTAGTGTTTTAATTAATATCATGTATTAATGGCAACTCGTGTGTTGCACATTAACTAAAACAAGGCGAGAAGTGTGTCTTAGCCAAAGGTAATCACTACTAATGTTGCAAAGTGTCAGAAACCTGGGAATTTCTAAAACTTTTAAGAGGGTTTTGCCAACTTTCAATGGTCTGGAATTTTGGGGGTTTTGGGCAGTTTTAATTTACCATATAAAATAAAATATCTAATTTTGGTCAAGTATATACATTGTGTAAAGCAAAAATATAATGTCCACAGATTATACGCATAACAATACACTACATATGCATTTGACTGAGAAAATTAATGATGCCGCATTGAAATGCCTACACTGATTAGAATTTGGTCATACACATTGCGTGCATCCGTCTATGTTGGCAACTAGGGATCTTTGAAAATCGGCCTAAATCATGATATGATTGTAGAGGCAGCAGGAGTTATGAGATTATGAACCATTATCATGTCGTGGCATTTCTTTTTCTTTTCAGTCTGGTGGTACGACAGTGCCTTTGGAGCATCGGGCTGTACGCTTCATTGATAACTTCAGCACTGGATCAAGAGGGGCAGCATCAGCAGAGTATCCTTGATTAATCAGTTGTTAAGGAGTAATGAGACTTCTTAACCTCTGTTCATATTGGACATTTTGTGAATACATTTAGCAATGGCGATGCATATGATCCAGGAGATATGATCGGTAGTAGATAATAGGGAACTATTATCTTCCCTATTATCTACTACTGATATGATCCTAGCAGAGCAATGCATATTGTTGAAGGAAGAAGGAGCTAGGGTATTTCTAGGAAAAGAATTATTCATGTAGATATTCTTAACTTCATTCTTAACAGGTATTTTTTGGAGGCAGGTTATGCTGTGATATTTTTGCATAGGAAGGAAGCATTGCTTCCATTCTATCGTCATTTCAACTGCTCACAGTTCTTAGAACACCTCGCTGTCAACGATGAAAGGTCGCACGTCTCAGGTTTGCGCTTTAATTCTTATTTATATTATTAGACCTAAATTTAAACATAGGTTAGCTATATGCATTCGTTTTTATATTTTGTTGAAGTTCTATTACCTGTCAACTTTAAAATGCAATGTTGGCATGTCATGGCAGGGCATTATTGTGTTGAATTTAGGAATATAAAGCAATAACTAGTTTAAAGATTGTTTTTTTGGTACCTATAATGCGAGGTGAAAAAAAGGTCTCTGTTGTTAACCTGTAATTTTAATTGCAGTGAAGGACGATGTAGTTCCGAAGCTATTGTCGGTGCTTCTGCGATATCAGGATGTCAGCAACCAGAAGAGATTCCTGATGTTGGAGTTTACGACAGTCACTGATTACCTGTTTCTGCTGAGAGCCGCAGCCGAAGCTGTGCACGTGATCGGTAGAAATGCTATGCTGTATCTGGCTTCAGCAGTGTCAGACTTCTACATTCCATCCACCGAGTTGGTACGTATGAAACGGACATCACTTGTTTTTGGCAGGGCTAACAACCAAACACGTGTAGTATTCAGCATGTTTCACGTTTTTGCTAAGGATGTTCACGAGAACTCAGTCATCTTTTTGAAATATTGCGAACAAGTTCAGGCCAGACATTTGTTGAACAGACAGTATAAGGAAGAAAGGTTTTGGTGTTCACAACATACTGTCGCTCGATTAGCACTGGCAGACAAAGTCAATTGAATACAGTAACTAACTCTAGTAATGTTTTAGTAGGCACATTTAACCATTCGTAAATGCCATATAAAACCTCTAAAGCAAGATGAATGTTTGGGAAAGGTTCGGGTGAAAAAAGCAATAGCCAATGTTGTTTTAATCATTTGACAATCCTTCCCCAGCTGCCAGTAACCAGTAAATTACACTATTGGTATCTCTAATCACAAGATATTAATCTTATCATGAGTCCCCTAGTATTAGTACCCAGAAAAGATAAAGGTTTGCATCAAAACCATATATTTGGAATGAAAAACACGTACAATACAAATAGAGATGGTGATAGTTGGAATTGAAGAAGTCACACAGAAGTCGGAATAGTCTAGGAATATAAATTCTCTTTCTACGTTGTATTTAATAGCCGGAGCACAAAATCCAGTCGTCGGGTAAACCTCTCACCGTAACCCTCCAGGCAGTCCCTAAGATGTTCGGCTTGCTGGTGCAAGACTGGGCACCCGATGCCTTCATTGTATCATTCAAGGTTTGTTTTCTTGTAATTATGCAGTTTCACGTGTAAATGTCAACTTTTAATAAGCTAGTGTAACGCAGTGATGTGGACAAATTCAAAATGTCGTCTGCATCTCAAAGACAGCATTTTATATAGTACAAAATTGCTGTTAAAATCTTCATTTTCATTTTAATGTCAGCAATTGTACCGTAACTAGATATATTATCTTGTTTTGCTTGATTAAATATATTTCTTGTGGTATTAATGGTTGATGCCGTGGTTCTTTGCTCACACTTTTAAGATTGGCACTGCAACTCATTGTTCTGACGTTGCTTTTATATGTCACTGCATATTTCATATGCACCTTTCAGCTGGAAACCAACAAAGAGCTGTTGCTGCAGAAGTCAGAGGGTGCTCTTGATAAATATCAGCATAATGTATGTAACACATTATTCATGATATTCTGCTGTTATACGAGTGTTAACCTCTAACCATGTATTATTAATAGTTGAATTACACTAAGAACGTTGTAGGCAAATATGCCGCATGAAAATCTTTTAGATTTTTTTTTCTAAAACCGCTTCCTGTGTTTCATGTGATAGGTTGTAGTCGGGAACGTCTTGGAGACAAGGAAACGACAAGTCATTATTGTAACAAGTGGTGAAGTTGAAGGAGTGGCAATCAGTAAGGAAGAGTTACATCAAGGTGTAGAGATAGAGCTCAAGCTTGTCGATAATCTTGCTAAGAAACATAGCAGATATTGCAGAGAAACAAAGGAGTAAACTAATCATTAGGCGTACACAGGTACATATCTTTCTATATATTTTTATTCTGATTAGATATGTAACTCATATACAGGGGGATTGCCCTTTGTTTAAGCCGTGGTACCTTTATTGTATTTAATGAGTTTGTTGTGATATTGTGTGTAAAAGTGTTGCTAATGTCAATGTGTATTTCCATGTGTGTGTGTATTTGGTATAGCGCAAGTCATCACACCATCTGCTCTTAATATACACAAATATGTAAAACTTGTCATTAAAAACATCAGAGAAAATCTATTGCTGACCACCTAAATTTGGCTGAGAGGGTCTATGTCTCCCTGGGTACTGCCAGAACGTACCCTGGGTACGATCCGGTATACCGGAACGTACCCTCAGGGCCTGGTAACTATCTGATATGGTTAGGGTTAGGGTTAGGGAGTAGGCATAGGCGACTCCCTAGACTCATTAGATATTATACGATACTTATACTCGGCATATTAGATAGTTACCAGGGTACGTTCCGGCAGTACCCAGGGAGACAGACCCTCTCAGCCTAAATTTGATACCGTTGCAGTTAGAAGTCACTGTATGTTAAATTATTAATATCTCAATATACTTTTATAGTATTGGTTTGCACTGCTGGCTGTTTATTACATGTTCATGGCTCATTGGCTGCACTATTCGGTATGTGAAGGCACAGCACAGATAATGCCAGTAGGTTATTAGTAAAGCTCGTGCATGCATGCTGTCTGATATCAGGAGCGTATAATGACAAATACTCACTCCTGCTGATATTTATGTAAACTGGCAACTGAAAACTGGAGTGCCTACATGGAAACTTTAGCTGCCAGTTTATACCACATAATCCACGAATGCAACTGTGATAGCAATTTTATAGTACTATTTTACAAATATTACAAAATTAATATAGATGTTAGGTCTTATTGTCATTGACGTTTACTTTCACTACCTTGCTGTGATTCATATATGTAATCTGTGATAAATGCAATTACTTTTACATTATCCAATATTTGGAGTGAAATAAATTTGTGACGAGAAACCTATCCACTTTTTGTTTAAATAGGTTTTATGTATTATTACCACGAAAAGTCCCATGTAAATCAATTCTAAACAAAAACTCCCCATGTCAATGCACCATAAAATGACTCTGGACTAACTAATTGTAACTCTATGGTGTGCAAAATACAAATTGTGCATAAGGTTATGATTCACATTATCAAACAGTTGAATGTGTTAGTTGCTTCAACTGAGTGCCACATTGTAAATAATAAATAAATTTGAAAGTCAAATTTTAAAATTTGAAGAAAAAACAGTAATACTTGAGCTAACAATGAAACTATCCATTTTAATTAAGTAACTGTAACAATTAACAAACACGACTATTCATAAAGAGAAATTAAACTCGCTATGTATAAATTATTTAAGTTGTATAGATGCTACTGATGCTATAGACGAACTTGTATCAAGTACAAGTTCAGGAAATTTGTCCTAGTTGTTTATTGGTCTCACTTCTTCCCATCCATGTTTATAGGATCCACAGATGGCTCTGGAAAAGAATAATGAAATTGAAGTGTTATAAAGTATACCAAACATTAGCTTATATCATGTCTCATCATTGTTTTACTAATGTCTACTTTAATTTCACCATTGCCATTTTTAGATAAATTTTTTGGCGATATACATATAGAGATATGTCATGAAATATTTTTACTGCATTGTCACATTGAGACAATCTATTATAATCGGCTTGTCACCTGCCCAGTTGCCATAGAAACTTTCAGAAATAGTTGATCTAATTGTCAGAGAAGAAATCGCAACATTTACTTCGTGCATTGAACAACCTGATAAGTCTAATAAATATTTATTTCAATAAATCATACACATGTAAATTTGGCAAAAAAACTGCTTTGCTGCCCAAACTCAAAATGCCCAAGCTACAGCCACAACTTAACTGACTACTGTATACTATTATACCTATTATACTCCTTACATTGTATGCTTCTATTACGCATTATACCTGTGAATTGAAAAGAGGGGAAATCAGATAGGTTCACTTCTTTGCCATCAGAGTACTGCCTCTTAATTTTCTCCTGTTCATCGTGCATTTCCTTCCCGATTTCTGGAGAAGGGTCGACTAGCCCTCCACCTGCAGTTTAGTATTAGTGATCTTTACCATCTACTAATATTAGTACTCAGTACTGCTAGCAAAAGTCGCCAATCAACTAAAATATACAACACGTTTCCATCCCCCATAAGTAAGAGTTTGAGCACTAGCAGTTCCAGTACAGCTATTACATCTGGTCATTTCAATGTGGACAAATGTTAATTTTTTTTTACATAATGTACGTTATGGTAATGTAATCGGTGATTGTTTGCTCTAGGGTAGTAATAAGTAAAACTATAAACATTTTAAAAGAACATAATTTAAGACAGACTTACTTGCTTTTTGTGTCGTATTCATGTATTTTGTCGACAAACAATTGCTGAATAGGATCAAGCTTGGCAGTTTTCTGTGCTGCTATCGCAGTGAAACCAATATTCCGCCTGCCACATGTCACTACCAACCGGCGTAAGTGGGATAATGACATTCTAGCCAACATCTTTTGCTGAAAGTAACAGAAAATATGCAAAATGAAATTAATTTCCACAACAGTTGAACTTCTTGACAGACTTAAATCAGATATTCACAGACATAGTCACTTTTATTCATCACCAATTCCTGTTGCAGCTGCTATTAGTCTGGCTTAATAGTTGGTTTGTAAATGCTCATTATTAAATTCACGCTGTGTAACCGGCATTTGAGCAATCTTCGCGACATCTCGCATGCATTTTACTGTCGACAGTAAATGACAATTATGATGCATATTGAATTATAATTGTAAGGTGATTTTTTTAAATAATTTATATATATAATATAGATTTAAATGAATATATATGAGATTGGAGATGTTCCAGACATCAACAATGCTGGGGCCCAATCCTAGTTTAGTACCCCGGCTTAGTTTAGCACATTTGCAAAAATTAAGGCTGAGGTTCAAACTGGCAAACAGCAAACTAGTAGTAGGACTCACGAGTCGGAGAACGATTGAGCAAGTGCCGAACGCAAATCCACTGCTAATTTCAATCATAGCAGTCTGTAGTCGTGAAAAAGTCTATTTAAACGATATAGATAAAACTAATGAATTAATGTATCTGTAGTGCTGTGGAGATGTTGTATAATTTGAAGCAAATAATTTAATGCAGTGGCTACGCGTCCGGCACCGGTCGCCCAGCCTCCAGGCTACGCATCCGGACATCCACTCACACAGTGATCGCGCGACTCACTTACACGCATGATTGCGCAACGGGACCCTCTGCTGATTGCCGAAAATATACAATATACGTTAATGGTTAGGGTTAGGTTAAGCCTCCCCTTGATACCTATATCACGACATTAATGACATTAAAGTTGTGAACGCTCCTAATTAGCGTTAGCCGTAAAATATATGCACTGCTGCCGTCTATCCTTTCATCCGTCCCATATCTCTCGCTCTCTCTTTCACACACGCACAGTTCTCTCTCTCTCTCTCTCTCTCTCACACACACACACACACACACTTCTAGCTCTATCTCTCGCTCTCACACACACACACACACACACACGCACACGCACACGCACACACACACACACACACACACACATACACACACACACACACACACACACACAC